CCCCAAAACCCCAAAACCCCAAAACCCCATATTTCTGTAAGTATATTGAACCTAAATATTTTGGTTAGAGAGTTTGGAGAATAAGATTACATACTTATTCGTAAGCATGGATATATATTCTTTTGACTTTAATCAAGGAAATCATGTAGACATCACAGAATGGTCACTTCTTAGTCGAGGAAAACAACTTCAGGAAGCATTCAGGGTGCATTACCTCTGGACAAGGTGTTTTGATGCATGTGGATGGAAATTTTTTTAATAGCTTGTAGGATTGCATCCGCCTTTCCTCGTCATTTATATAATCTAGACATGGCTCTGATAGCAGATTGGTGCAATATTGTCACTGAGGATTATTGATATTTTGGAGTTCTCTGATCTGAGATCATTGATTTATAGGAATAAGTTCATTATAGTAATATCTTTGATAATAATTAGCATATGATCCTAAGAAGTATGACTGATGAACCATGTAAGTACTTATTAAGCATATATGAATCAAAGAAAACACCACAACCAAAACAACTTTGGCTGCAGTTGAATGGTAGCCACTCTCAAAAATGTAAAAGTAATTTGCTGTGAATGTCAGATGGAGACTGATGCACAGAGTTGCTGCCCATTCAAACCAAGACTTGAGTCCATCCTTTGTCTCATGAATTCTTCTCTGTCTGATGAAAGTGTACAGCACCAGAGAAAGCCAAAAGAGGTTCTGGAGAACAACAGTGAAGATATTGTTGGTGAAGAACTCAAAATAGGGTTTGATGAAGAAGCTCCCAATTATTCATAAAACTTGAAAGATATGATTAGGAACAAAAACTAACATAAGGTATTTCCCTTCTTCTAACGATCTGAGAGATTCAAAAGGTCTGTAAATAAACCAAAGTCCTAATACTAGCAAATCATTGGATAAGATCATCATTAAAAAGATGCAAATAAAGATTGGAATGTGCACTGGTGAAGAGAAACCATACTCAAGCATCCGGAACACTATTACTCAGAAGTCTCTGTTGATTACAATGAATGAGATTATGTAGATGAACAAACCAACAGGTTTGCATGTCCAAGTATCTTCTGGCTCTGTAGATTTAGCTGTTGAAATTAAACAGATAATAGCTATATAATAAGAGAGATTAATTGGCATGAAGAGGATCTCATAACTGAATTTTTCCCAAGTTGATATTTCTAAATAGTAAACTTGATAGAATTACCTTCAGTTATTCCCAGATTTCTATCAGGATGAATTCTAGATGACACTTTAGTTTGAAAATAAGCAAAATTAAATTGAAAAATGAAGTAAAAATTATTTCATCTATCAAAAATGCAATAAAGTAGACAAATGGTCCAAGAAAATTACCTGAAAGTCTCATCTTCAGTTCTTTCATTTTGATAAACATAACTATTTAACTCCTGAAAGCTACTTTGGCTTCTCTGCACATTAGAATGAAATATAACCACCCCAACAACCATCAGTGCTTGAAAAACAATCCCTGTAAGAGAACATACACCATCACATAAGTCTCACCCCTTGTAAACGGCCATGCCATGTTAAATTATATTATCCAGCACCTCACACAAAAGCGGGGTTTTGGGGTTTTGGGGTTTTGGGGTTTTGGGG